GGCAAACTTCATTTTATGAGTGATTCTGACAATTCAATTTTGCTCTACCACTTCTTCACAGTTTATGTGTAACTCTGTAAAACATAGAAAAAACCTAACAAATACAAAAGTTTGTCGATGATACAAAAACAAATTTTTAAGGTTCAAGGCATTACTATGTATACCAAAAATTCGAATCTGTTTGCGCTCTGGCAGCGCTTCTGTCTGTGTCAGCCCTTATAAAAATGCAAAAACCTTTACTCAAGATGCATCAATAATTTGCTCGAAAAAAAAAATCAGACAAGAAAAGGTGTATAAATAAATAGCAACAAACAGCCATAGGACAATTCTAATTCTTTTAAAGAAAGACCTTTAAACAGGCTTACAGTTAGCAACAACAGAGATTTAAGATCTCGTTAAACTATAAAAAGTCCATAATTGGTAAAACCTCCTAAAATCACTTGAGAATACTTTTAAAAAAATTTTAAGTCGTTTTTTTGGCGAAAATTGTTTAGTCAAATGTGACTGACTGATGAAACTTAAGCAATGTCTTTTCTCTTAATGATTTGGTTCCTCATTGTGCTTACCCCATAATCATAAATTTTTATCTTTTTTTTTTCTTTGAATCGCTATTTTATTTCTAGGCAAAGGTAAAATATGCACATATGACTATTAGAAAAATTCTTTCGATAATTTTTTTTTGCTTACATTAGTTCTTCGGTTTGCTGCTCCTGGATAGATGTCGTTAAGACTAATGAGCTGTGATGAACAGATCAACGAAGTTATATAAGTCAAAACTTGTTTAGCAGTTTTTTTTTTTGCTTTTTTTTAGAGAAGTACAAAATTAACCGCATGTTTAATTTTCAAAGAAAAAAAAAAGCAATTTTTTTCTTCAAAATAATTGAATTACTATACAAAAAAAATGCAGTTTTTTAATAAAAGCAATTTTTTACTTAATTTAAAATTTTACTGTTTTGCAATTTTTCAACAAACGTTTATTTAACATTAGCATTAGTGTTCTTTCTTCAAACAGATCAACAATTTCATTATTGACAACAATGTAAAAAACTTTTTTAATTCATCTTTCTTTTCTAGGTTTTGTAAACATAATTTTTTTTTGTTAAACGAAAGAAAAAAGAAACAATATATGTTATGTTTTGTTGTACTAATCTTTTCTGCTGATCGTATTCAATTGACCTAAGATAAGTTGTTTTTATTTTGTAAAGGTTTTTATCAATTTATGGTTACTAATCAAAAAAACAAGGCATTTGTTCGTTTTTTAAACTTTCTTGTAATCTTATTTCGTTTTTATTTCTTGAATTTGTTTTTAATTACCTTATTATAGATCAGAATAAGAAACAAGGTTTTTTTTGCTGATGCATTTTGCAAAATAAGAGAATACCAAACTCTACCATGTCAAAAAAAATCATGATTCAAAATATCCTCAGTTTATGAAACTACTAGACATAAATGATATATTAAGCGAACGAACGACACAGACTGGTATTTTTTTTGAAAAACTTGGAAAAAAAGTGTAAAAAAATTTTTTTTGGATAGTTCCATCTACTTTTTCAAATCATAACTTTAGATTAGCCAAAGACAATTCAATAAGCTGAATTTAAAGCGTAAATTTAATACTTTTTTTGAAACAGGCAAAATGTTGTTATGCGGAACAACTTTTTACCCACTGAACAGTTTTCGTGTGTCCTAACAAAACGTTGACATTAGTTTCTGAAAAAACAACTGCTACTGATTCCCCCATAAAATTTAACAACTGCAAATGTCAAGTTGTTTCTCGTAGATTCTCTCAAATTTTTTTTTCTCTCCTGATGATGCAGAAATAATCTATCTTGTAGCCTCTGTGAAGAACTGGAGCACAGAGGCGAAGAGGAAAGGTAGAAGCAAAATTTTTTTTTGAATTTATCTTCTGCTGTCATCTGTATCATATCGACTGTTGCTTCTATGATAATTTTATGTTGTTCATTTGAGGTAACTTTGCTTGTAACCTCAGAGCTTAAAAACAGTAAAAAAAAAGCATGACATATTTATAGCGGTTAGCAGCTATTCTGAAAAATGCAGTACTGCAGATTCAGACAGCAGACTTGCTTTAATTTTTTCAAAAAACAATTTTAATTCAAAGTTATTATTACATTGTTTTGTCTAGTTAAACCTAGATTTAACAAAGTTTTAATTGTTTGCAAAAATTAGCAGTAACTGTTGGAACTGCTGTAATTGGGGACGCCTTTCAAACACGGTGATTGACGATGGTTAGCAATCGTTATTTTTTCAATTGATTTCTCATGCTTTATGAAAACAGTCGCACCAACAACTGTTTCAAATGTCTTTTTAGTATGTATTTATTCCTCGAAAACTTTACAATTAATTAAATATTAAAAAACGACAAACCAATTAAAGCGATAATTAAACATAGTTACAAATAGTAAAGTCAGTATAAATACGCTTTTCTTTTTCACTACATAACCAGATTAAATGCTGATGCAGAAATTAGTAAATACATAACAAGAAAAAAGTAAGGAAAATATAAGTCAGAATCAAAGTATGAATAAAATGCAGAAAAAAAAAAAAGAAAGAGATACCGGTGTGAAAGAGTTTAAAGCAGCACAAAAAAAATTTATCCTTCTTGTCAAAAGTTTGATATACTGCAATAATTGTTAAGCATTATATTTGCTTACAAACAAAATAATGTCACTCTTTTTCTGTGTTTGACATTTTATAATATGTTATTATTCTGTGATTCAGTTTTGTTGCCGTTTTGAAACTGTAAAGAGGTAGGCAGCACAGTTTTATAAATTTGAAAGTTTATCGTCATCATTACCTCCTCATAGATCACTTACTTTCTTGGCCAATCTATACAGCTTTTATAAACTGTACTCTATTTTAAGTACAGCATTACATTTGCTTAGTGTCAAATAGTTTTCTGTCTTTGAAGTATCTATATAGTTTCATATTCTTCAAGCACAGGTAGCTATTTCTCATTTTTTGCGACCGAAAAAGAGTCATAGATGCCATTCTTCTTTACACATTATACGATGCTAAAATAGTTGGCTTAGAGTAGTGCTCAAAATAAAAAAACTGCTTATCCACATATTTTTGCCAAACAAGCGAAAAAAAACCTAATTAGAATTAAGAAAGTAAAAAACTGATAATTTATTGAAACCTGAAGTTTCAACTAAACACTACGGATGCTGTTTTCTAAAGCTGCAATTTTTATGTTATCATGATAATTAATTTATTTCAACCTGCAAATTTTGGAGAAACCGACGAATAAGCAGCAGAAAAACTGCACTAAATACTTATCCTGTACATACGCTTGAATATTTAATTGAATAATTTACGTCGACTCTAGACGAGGTTTCTCACTGCCGTGTTAACTGCGTGTCGTTGACTTCGCCTTTTTAGATTACTAAAATTATATAACACTGATTAATTAAAAGCAACAAAAGGAAATGTTTCGTTGAATAGAAAATGTCACATATTTTTCTTCTACTCAAACAAAGCTGCGTAATAGGTCAGCTATTAAAGTGATTAATTATCCAAGCGTACCAAGGTAACAAGCTGTACCAAGGTAACCTGTATTCCATACTTTTGTTATGTTTACACTTTACAAAGAAAAGCCCATGTCCATTGATCTTTGAAGTTTTGTTGCTTTCCTTAATTCTAACCAATCCAACTGAAACAAACAAAAGCATTGTAAATTTTATGGAACGTTGCCAAAACAATGGCAGTAAACTTTTTTGGTTTTTCCCAATGATGACCAGAAAATGTAAAATCATTGAAGTAATTTCTTCTGTAAAAATTTGTATAATTGAACTGCGTAAATGTTGTTGAGTCACTATTATCGACAGTATATTCACAACAATTTTTTAGCATTTATATTATTCTCAAATTTTTCAGCTGTAATTAGTAAAATTTTAATTGCAGCAGAAAATCAAATTTTTTTCTTTTCTGAATTAATACCATCAAAAATCAACATCACTTAATGTTCACCAAAAAATACATTCAGTGCATAGGGTGAATGTTTTGCTAATACAATAGGAGTGACAATACGACATTTGTGAGACCTGATGAGATCTTCTTCTCTTGAATTAGTGCAGTTATTGTACGGAAGTCATCTGAAACTGTCTGTGCAGTTCACCAAACTTCGTCATGTTCTTGCTCACTGCTTGTGATCTACTCACTGAACCTGTTGTTATAACAAAGTATTGCCGAGAACGATCGTATAAAATAATCTTCAGTTTGTCTATTAGAAACAGTCGTATTTGGTCTAGTCTATTCAAAAATTGTTTTTTCCCTGGTTTTCAGTTATTCACTCTTTATTTTTTTTCATACCACAATTTTGTGATATTACCAAAATAAGAAAAAAAAAAAAAAAAACGTTGGTACTGAGCAGTGCGAAAATCTGTTGACTCCTGGTGTCTTTTTTCCCCGTTTTACTTCTCTACGCTATACCACTGTTTTGGAAGTGATTTTGTATTCAATTTTTTTTTTAGGTTAAATAAGCCTTGTCATGTCTGTGTTGTACCTACTTTTCATCTTGGCTTCATGTTAGTAATTTTATTACTCTTGTTTGATTTTTTTTTCTGTATATATTTTGGTTATTTAATTGCTCTTGTTTTGCAGTAGTCTAAGCAAATAGTATTTTCCTAATTTGGTGCCAGGATTCAGTTGTTTCTTTTTTTTTTCTTGCAGAATTATGACTAATAATTTTGGCGCATTTTAGTTGTTGAATTACACAAATGCACTGATTCATCCAAGATCTATCAGTTTTCTGCTGTAGATACTGAAGGCAATAAAATAAGCTTAAGTAAGTATCGGTTAGTTTTTTTTGGCTAATTTTGCCTCGATAATATGACGTTGATTTGCAGTTATTTCAAATTTTAAAGATCATTTGGATCTTTGAATTATCTTAGTCGATTTTATTATTGTGGGAAGCAGTTCCGTAAATTTTTCTTAGATTTATATTCAGCCTTTTACTTTGTTGTGCTATTTTGCTGTCGAAAATGTTACCCCGGTTTTTCCTCTATCAATAGTAGTCAGTACCGCTGTTTTAACTGTCCACACAGAGCTTAATCTAATTTTATTTTGGCTGTAATTTAGTTTGACGAGTAATAAAGCCCTCATACTAAACACTGAAGGAAATGCTTTATAAATTTTTATATGTTTTCCTTATGCAACATCGAATAATTTAATCTGTTCCACAATTATATTTATTAGCTATTTAAAGCAGGAAAAAATTTTGTAATTTTGCAACTTTTAGCCGTGGATCTGTTTGCTTATTTGCTTATTCTTATGGTAAAAGAGCGCACGATAATGAAAGATTGCTAATTCAGAATTGAAAGATTACAGGGGCAAAGTGGTGTTAATTGTTAATGGTGCTTCACAGTGTGGATTTACGGAATCAAATTATCGACAGCTGAAAATTTTGTACGAAAAATATCACCAAAGAGGACTTAAAATAGCCGTTTTTCCGTGTAATCAGTTTGCTGGTCAGGTTAGGTGTGAACAGTAAATTTCCAACCTTTATCAATATTTTTGCTTTTTGGCCATTAAAGTGGTCTGTATGAACAAAAAATGTTACCAAAAAGAACTTGAAATAGCCGTTCTTTGATGTAATCAGTTTCTGAAAAGGTCCTTTTTATTTTAATTGATTGAATGATTTTTTCTTATAGCTTTTTGAGTTGGATATTTTTGGTGAGGTTTGCAGGAACCCGGGGATGGTAGAAGTGTAAAAGAGTTCATAAGAGATAATTACGGTTTCGAACCCGATGTTTATGAGAAAATCAATGTAAATGGAGCTGATGAGCATCCACTATTCACGTATTTGAAGAACCAACAAAGTGGCTTTATAACAGATCATATTAAGTGGAATTTTACCAAATTTCTCATTAGTCGACAAGGAAATGTGGTACGGTAATTTTTTCTTACTTTTTTTTAAAAATAATCTTTGAGTTATGTTGCTTACAAACTTAATGCAGACAAGAGGCGGAAGAAAAAAAAGGCAGGGACAGATGCAGAAGTCAACAAAAAATTATAGCCGTATGCTTGATGTTTATATTTATAAAAGAAACTTTTTTTACCACTCAAGAAAACTTGTCATATTTTTCAAAAATGCTCTTTTTTACATAAGCTATAGTCTCTTTGGTTGATGTTTCATAAACCTGGTGAATATACGGCAATATTAAATTCGGACAGCTTGAATGCAGTCAATTACCGCATCTTTGTGGTACATAAAGGTCCCACATTTTACTTGGTTTTATTTGACAGCTTTCTTACGTATTTTCTTGGACAATCAAAAAATTTATCTGACATTGTCAATTCTGTCTTATTATGTGGAAAAAAATAAGCACAGCTGAAATGCGGCTAAAATTTGCTGGTTTCGTCCTATTTTTTTTTTTTTTTGGATTTAAGATTCCACTTGATTATTAAAAATTGCCAGTGATTCAGATAGTAAATCAGTAAAGGAACTTCTTTTGAAAAAATTATTTTCTCCGTTACCCAAATGTTGCTAACACTTGACGTTTATGTATTAGCAGTGTTATCTATAGTGCTCATATATAATATTATTGGCAAAATATTGCATGCTTTTGCTACACCTTTTTATAACCTTATTAAGGTTTTGGCTTAAAAATTGAGATGATTTAAATTAAGAATTATTTTGAGTCTAATGAGATGGGATTTGTTCCTGTTTGAAAAACGTTGCTGAGAGAGTGAGAATAATAGCTGGTGTACGATGCATCAACAAACTGTGTGCATAATTACCTGTTAGTTGCAGTGTAGATTCTGAGTTCAAAGGAGTTATATCACTGTAAATCTGCATTGTCTTTTTTGAATGGTTCTTTAAAAATTGGAGGAGATTT